CTTTCTTTTTTCCTATCTATTTTTTTTCCAGTGATGGAGATAAATTGCAATGATAAGAGTCCCAGGGGCAGAAAGAGTCCTGTTGTGTTAGACATTGTACAAATACAGAATAAAAATGTCTGTCCTGTCCTAAAGGCTTCAGTAAACCATTTGACACCACTGATCTGCATCACAGTGACATTCAGCCACAGTTTCTGAAATCATTTTAATTCTGCTTTTCATTCATTTTTCTCAGTAATGACCTTGTGTTCCACAGGAAGCATTTTTGTTAACATCAGAACCTTGAGCCTAAATGAGTTCTGTGTAGCAAATTAATCTTATTTGACCAGTGAGGCTGATTGAAACATTACATCAATTTTTACTTGTTTCGGTGTTATTATTTTTAAAATCTGGTTAATCTAAATCACTTCGGTTTTGTTCCATGGCCATTCAATACTTATCCCATAAATTCCAGTGCACTAGCAGTGCAAGGTATTTCAGAAGGGCACTGATGCACTTTGGGTGCATATGGATCACTTACACAATATGGACCACTTACACTAGCAACTTGCTCCAGAGGTTGGTGTGCAAGGATCAATCTCTGCTGAAAATAAACCTGATCTAAGAACACTTATTGTGTCTGTGCAAACTGTTTGAAGCACTATCACATAGAACTGTGAGGCACTCCACCACTGTGCAGCCAGAGCACCAATTCTTGGAACACAATCCTCTGATTAATCCTCAAGTGTGAAGGTAAGTAACTCTTCCTCAGGGTTTTACATTGAGCCAGAGGTTCTTAACTGGTTCTTAACTGCTGAACCAGGACCAAAATTTTTTTTAGTGAGACCTGGCCAAAAGTATGTCAGGAACCGTTGCAGTGGCCAAGAATATTTCCTGCTATTGATTCTTTCTAGTACAGATATAGCCTAGAGGTTTACCTGAAACTGAGCTCAGTCATTCTCCAAACTCCAGAGCGCATTAGTTAGATTTGTGTTTTCTCTAACAGGAGCTAAAATGTCATATTTGTGCAGGAATTTATTTGTGGGCACAAAAATGAAGGATTTTGATATGTCCCTCATTCAGACTGTTATTATGAAGACGATTATTTTTTGTCCTATGGGCAACAGAGTATCCAAGGAAAGCTTAAATATCTGTGATATTAAAATATCCGAAGTTACAGAGTAATTGTTTTATCCTGTTAATCATAAAAATGTATGCCTCCAGCAGTTCTAAGAATTATCTGTGAAATAAAAAGCTCTTTAAGAAAAAGCTATACCAAATATCATTTTTCTATTCCTTTATAACATCAAATATTGAAGATAAAGTCTTTTACTTCCACTCTGTGACAGCTATTTAGCAGCTATTGTAAAAGAAAGAAACTGTGACTCCCTGACAGTTTAAAAAAGCAAAAAACAAAGATTATGCAAAAAATCTTTTCATCATTGCGGTGCTTCTGAGGTATCTAATAATAAACTAATAGTAGCACACCAAATGAGCTCAGAAACATGCATTAAAAAATCTGTGCTTTGAGAAAGTGTGAAAGTTAAAAATTAAAATACAGTTCTTGACACTAGAAGCTCTTTGACATGTTAAGCTACATTGGAAGTCAGGAATCCACTTATTTCTTACCATGTGGTCTATTATCTTATTTGACTCCACGAATATTCATTAGAATTTACAGTCTTTTATTATTTAGCTCACTGCATTAAACATCTGCTTTTTCCCCCCAAGATCACCTTCTATGTAAGTTGGTTAAAATAATAAAAAGATTATATATATATATATAAAAATAAAACTATTGTATTAGCTGAAACAATCAAAAACCAAAGGCTGATGGTAAATGAAAGTCCTACAGTTGCTATTTGTTCTAAGGGGAGTAAGTTCCCAAAATATAATTTTAAGAAAAGCCCATAGATCAACATCACTGTATCAGTATATGATGGTGTGCTATGGTACAGCATTGCATTGCAATGTTCTCACACTGAAGGGAATAAAATGCCAAAATCTGTCAACCCTGCTTAGCTCACTGAGCTCTGGCAATCTTGTTGAACTATGCTGCAAAAGAGGTTGCTGTGTTCTGGGAACAATAGCTCCAACAACTGATAAATGTCAGACCAAGCATATAATTAGCATGTCCTCAAACTCACTGAGTTTTATCATGACGCATGGCAAAATAGCACTTGGGATGACTTCGGAGGTTTGCCATTCAGAGAATTTCCTAATGACTATCATTTGTGTGCATGCTCTCCTGACTAACTAAGGATCAATATGCCTGAGGGAAAAAAATGATTAGGAGCTATGACTCAAGGAGGAAGCTTTTGGCCTGAAGCTGTGGTAAGTTTTACCTTGAAAGTCATCCATATAAATAAAAAAAAAAAAAATGACATGCAGCCTTATTATGCCTCATACACAACAGTAACTGGAGGGGAGCAGTCCTCCAGGTACAGAGAGAATAATAAATGATCTCTCATACTGTTTGTGAAAGGAGCAGAAAAAGCCACATCTCATTCCATGTACATTTTTAATAACATGAGGCTTTTTGCCAACACTGATAACGTTACATATGTCATCTATTGAAAACATGGAAGCTCAAGTTTCAGCTCCTAGAAGATATTGACACATTTCTGTCTACAGCAACATCCTAACGTTATCATCAAAATTTCTCACTGAAGATGAAAAATAAAGGGATTAACTAACAAGAAGAGAGCAGAGATGCAGCAGTGTCCAGGGAAGAGAACAGATTTTATTTCCTTTATGTGGCAGGGGCCATGCATAACAGAGGCCAATAATACATGAGCTGTGGAACACAGCACAAACACTTGGTGGGGAGTCAGTCTGCACCAGACCAACCCTGAATAGGACAATAAAGAAAGTACGACCTGTGCTCCACTGTGCCTAATCTAAATACCTGCTCCATCAGAAGGAACCCAGTTTGCAACACCCCTCTAGTTTAGTCAGGCACGGGTTAGCTCAGTGGCTTGAAGCAAAGCAGAACCACTGCCTGTTGTGCTGCCAGAGCAGTGCCAGGCTCTGCACTGATGTATGGTCAGCAGCTCCACACAGTGCACAAGAAGCTGAAGCTGACTTTGATCAAAGCTGGCCTGAAGTAAGCAAGTACACTGTGTGTCTTATTTGGATACTTTTTTTCCCCTTAATAGATCCAAATTCTGCTTCTCATATAGAAAAACAGAAATTGTACCTGACAGCATTCACGCCAAATCAGTTATTTTAGTTCATAAATTTAATTAACTTTTGATTACTCTAACACATTTCAATATCTGTTTAGTAATTGTATGCAGGACTAAACAAAACACTAATCTATTTTTAATAGTGCATTCGATTTTTGCTGCATTCTTTAAACACAGATAAAATCAACTGCTCACATCACAGAATTTCACTTCCACAACAGGAATACCAGATTTCCCTGGAAACAATTCTGACCTCTGTGGGAACATTAGGTTAGCTCGGCTGGGAGAGCTAAAGAGGTGTACCAACTCTGATGCCACAGAACTGGGGCTGAAGAAGCTTCCTCAGAATTTATGTTGCAAACCAGAAAAATAAAAATCACATTATCATCTCTTCCTCTCAATCATCTTACCCCAGAAGTCTGCAATGGTTATTTTGAATGCTAAACAGATCTGGAGGTCATTTTGGAAGGCAAAGTGAGGGACAGTCTTCACTCTATGTCTTCTCTGGAAGAGCCGTTTCTGGTAGCTGTATACAGGCATTGTGCAATACTTGTGGTCTCTGAGTGACAGGACTGCTATTCCATCTTATTTCTGCTGCCTAACTTGTACTAGGGAAACTCTTTATGCCCTCTTTGCTTTCCTTATTTAAATACCTACTAGGAAGGAGGATGGTGGTTGGGAGGCAGACGTTTTTCTGACCTTAATGTCTGGACAGTGCTTTGAATAGAAGAATTCAGTACTAAACAGTCATCATGTGTCTTAGACTGTAAAATGATTCTAACATCACCAGCTAATCCTCTCTGCAGCTACATCACTGTTGAGCAATATCTTGTCTCCTTCAGCTAATTGGCATTTCAGCTAACAATTCTGAGGATTTAGAAAACTTAATTGTGTCTTGAACTAGACTGAGAAACATGCTACAAAAAAATAATCACCAAATATAAGAGCCATTCGTGCTATCTGTGATGAGGCAAGTAGCTCAAAAAGAGAAGCAAAATAACTTAACTGGGAGAAAAAGAGAAGAAATATGGATCATCATTCAAATGAAAGTGAAGGACTCGCCTCAGTTCAAGATGTAAGATCATAAACATCACTTCAAAAACAAATCACACTAACATTCTGAGCTGTCTTGTGGTAGCTTAAACATCTTGGACTAAAGATAAGCATTTTTTTTTTTTATTTCTTTGAGGGATTGACCTGTTGTTTCAGTATTGGTGTTTCAGACACCATAGACAAAGGAATAACATCCCTGATACATCTTGTTCCTTCAAAGGTCCAGTCAACTACTGCCCCTGCCAAATGGTATGCAACCCCAAACTTAATCCTAACAACAACAAAAAAACATCACTAGGGAAAAATTCAATCACTTGTGATCGTTTTGGTACTTAAAGACCTCTAGCATTTCATCCTCTTATAAAACAGGAGAAAGCCAAGTCCCTGCATAGGTAGAGCTCCCAGCATCCAACCAACTCTTGACAAAAGTATTCATTCCAAATACGCATAGAATCATAGAATATGCTGAGTTGGAAGGGACCCATCAGGATCATCGAGTCCAACACCTGGCCCTGTGCAGGACACCCCAAGAATCACACCATGTGCCTAAGAGTGTTGTCTAAACCCTTCTTGAACTCAGACACATGACCATTCACACAAAGGGTAAGAAAAAACACACGGCCACTGAAATTTGCAAGACTGCAGTCTGCACCTCTGAAAGAGAACTGATGTGAAAATAACCACAAATATCTTCTGGGTACCATTTCCAAAATACCTACTTTCTGCTCCAGTCACAACAAGCAGAGAGGATACAGGAAATATTCTAAGTCAAATCCAAAACACGTAGCAAAATGTCTTTATATAGTAACTGATAAAAATATCAATATATTTTATGCATGGATATATTCTTTAGATGCCAAGAGGTTTTTTTTCTATACAAAACCCACAATCAAATTCACACCTAAAATTTAACCAACAAATTTACTGTCATTCTTGGGCGTACAAAGAGAGGCCCTTAATCTAATGATCGACCCTTAAGATTAAAAAAATTCAAGATGTGGCGAATTAATTTGGCTTCCCAATGAAAATATTACATAATTCCACCAAGAATCCATGAATAAATGATGATGTCAAACAATTTTTTCTATGTACTGTTTCACAGGCATTTGTGTTGAAACTTGCACATGAATAAATGTTCGCCATCACGTCCTGGTGTAAATAATGGCCCTGCACCAAAAAAACAATCAATATCCTTATATATTAATATTCCTTTATAATCTGATTACATAATTTGCTCAGACTGTAGTAAAATCCATTTTACTTAACAATCCATTTATATTGCAAATATATATGGAAAACCCCTCTCATTTTAAATGGATTTTTACCTCATTAAACTCTTCTTAATGAGACTGGGGATACAGCTTTCAAGTAAACGAACAGAAGGTATTTTAAATAAAATTAGTTTAGTTTAAATAAAAACAGCTTATATTTTACAATACCCTACAGCTAGCAAAAATGAGCTACTTTATACACTAACCACATAGTGCAATTTCCTGCTCTTCCATGAAGGTTTGCTTTGGGAAGAGCAACCTCACTGAACACTCATTAAAGAATCTTATTTTAAAATGACAGACAGAAGACGAATATATCCCTATGTGTGATATTGACTATTCACAAGTGCATATTGACCCTTGCTCTGCAATAGTAATCTTTGGTAATCTTACTCTATGATTGAGGCCAGGTAGTAAGATTCAGCTTCTTACTCACACTGCTACGTATTAAATATTTTTCTTCCTTTTTTTTTTAAACATAATTGTAACAATAACAACTTGTCTTAAAATTAAGAGAGATGCTGAATTCTTCATCGTTCTATCCTGATTTCAGTGAAGCCAGTATTAGTCAAAACTTGTCTCTGTCAAAATTCACAGATGGGAGGAAGACACAACTCTTCCAGTTTTGGAGCTGTTCAAGGAGTATCAGGCTATGTAGCCCAAGATCTGGAAGATAATAAAAGAAGCAGTTACAATACTTTAACTTTTCCCACTAGCAGTGGAATCTCATTTCAAAACTATGCACTTTTTTCTCCAGATGATTTTAATCACTACCTATCAAGATCCCTTTTAACTGCATTTATGTTCCCTCTGCCTCAATGCAGTATCATTGATGATAAAGGATCCAACTTGATAGATTCTTCTCAGTCACCTGAAAGACAAACATTGTTTTTAAAGAAGTAACAAACAGTATTCACCTTTTTTTTCATGCATAAACTATACAGTGTATTTCACTTATCACAAGCATGTAACATTTCCCCGCCAGAAGACAAGCAGATCTGTCATTTCTCATCAAAACAAGAAACCACTTCCTGGTAGCTGACGGTCATAGTAAGTTCAGCTGTAGCAATACTTTGATTCGTTCTGTTCCAAAGGTTGTATCCCCGCTGCCAGCCCTCTCCACAGACGTCACTGGCAGATCAGAAGCCCCCATTTTACCCCCTGCAGAAGCCGCCCGCTCCTTTCCTATGGCCGCACCCCCTCTCCAGCCCCGCCGGCACCGCTGGGAGCGCCTCTCTCGCGGTGCCGGGCGGGCGGGACCCGGGGCCGCCCCCGCCCCCAGCGCTGCGGGCCCGCCATGGCGGCGGCGCGGCCGGCGCGGGCCCGGGCGCTGCTGCAGCAGAGCGTGTCCGCCCGGCTGCAGGTGCGGCCGCCTGAGCGCGGCGCCGAGGCCCAGTGGGTGGAGGTAACGTGGGCTGTGGGCTGTGGGCTGCCCCCTCGGCATCGCCCCTTCTCCGCTCGGCTCGGGGCCGCTCCGGGCCGGGCACCGGGAGAACGCTCGGTGCGCGTGCGCGTGCGCCGCTGGGAAGCGAGGGTGGGCGTTTACGGAGATTTGAGGGAAATCCCCCGTCTTCCTTTTCTGGGCTCAGCTTCCTTTCAGACACCTTTCTTACCTTGTCCCTGGTTTTCCCTCTCGAGCCCTTTCCTCACGCTCTCGTCATCACCCAAGGTTACACTCAGTCCCTTCAGCGGAGGGACTGAGCAGCGCAGCAGGCTGAGTCCGGTGCACGGCGGTTTGTCCCTGCTGCTCCTTCCCTTTCCCTGTGCTCCAGCAGAGGTTTTCCGCAGGCTGTAGTCCCTTCGGGAGCATGGCTGCTCAACCACACAACACCTCCTTCCCCTCTGGCCGTGTTGTTCCTTCTTTTCTTGAATACACTTTCACAGAGGCACCAGAACCTTGGCTGGTGGGCTCAGCTGCCCGCTTTGTTTATTGTGTGATAGTGTGCACTTGGAGAGGAAAGGGCAATGGGGCTATGGTAGCAGTAGTTCTGATGTTGGGTTTTTTTTAACAGACCACTAACTAAAAGTGAAATTTAGGGTGTAGACAACTACACAGATTGAGGGAAATGTATTTTCCTCATATTCCTCCCATGGTCCTGCTGGGAGAGGTAGGTAGCTCTGCAGACTCTTTGGGCTAAGTGCTGTGCATACAGCCCGGGGCTCTTTACCAAAGCATGAAGGCTGCCCTGTGGGGTGCACTGTCCTGCTGTAGTTGTCACTATTTATGGGTTACCTACAGTAGAATAACTCATCTACGCTGGTGTCAACTATTTAGCCCTTGGGTTGGTCAACTATGAGTTAATGAGTTCATTCAACAAATCTGAAAAGAGTTCACTGTTTGTCTTTGACCTTATCCTTAAAACTTCTCTCTCCTTGTTCAGAAGGGGCAGATGGATCCATAAGACCTAGTTTTTGCAGCATGGTCTGGGAAACCAGAATGTTTGGCTGAAGTGCATCTGTGTCTATTGCAGCATAAATTATTATAGGGAAAATAAGCTATTTCTAGCTTGCTAATCTCAGAAGTAGTTGTACATCTAGTAAATAACAGCAGAACTGTAATTTTGCTGGCTATCTTTTAAACTGTCTGAAAAGAGTTTGAAGTTGTTATAGTTGAGAGATATGAGTAACTGTTACAAGGGGGTTTGCGGTTTACATCTCTTTTTGAAGTTTTTAACAGATTCAGCAAAAATCTCTGGGAAAGTAATAGAAAAGCACTAAAGGAATCTGCAAGAGATTGGGGTGATTTCAGCAGCAGATTATTTTTTGGACATGAACCTTACTCATATTTGTTATGGGTACTTAGGAGTCTTTCTTGGCTACCTCAGGCTTTTTAAGAGAAGTCACTATGCAGGAAAAATGACTGGGAAGTGATACTTTCTTTAGTATGACTACTGTAGAGGTCATTAGAAGGAAACTGCTGCTGATGTTTTGTGGTAGGGTAATGTTACTCCCTATATATGCATGTCAATGCAAAAATAAAAAATATAGGTCTCATCGACTACTATTTACATGAACCAATGTGTTCCTGATGTTTTATAACAACTTAAAAGTAGGTCCTCACCTTGAGACATTTCTAGCATACTATAAATATCATATTATGTGGGTGCCTTTGAATAGCTGCTGAGCTGTAGGAGACCCCTGTAGGTACTTTAGGAGATTCAGAGCAGATGTTCTTTATCTGCAAAAAGGTTGGGAGTGTACTCTATACTTACACATGAATCACTGCCTTCATTGTGTTTTCATGATTGAGTTTTTTGGTCCTGTTGAGGATTACTGGGAATTGGATGTCTTGTTTATGGAGAGATGTTGGTTAGATAACCTCCATAAAAAGCTAATGTGTACAGCAAAATACTTAGGAAAAAAAGGAATTCTCCTTTTAAAGGTAGAGTGGAAATAAGGTGTAGTTTGGTGTATTTCACAACTATGGGGGAAAAGAAATGTAAGATGAATATTCAGCTAAAATGAAAACTGCCTTTTCCTTATCGTCTTTCCCTTGATTTGTCTTCTGGTTAATATAGCAAAAAGAGGTGCAAAGTACCAGGCACAGACTTGTTCTGTGACCTGTGGCAGATGATGTAATCTCTCTTTGCTGCAGCTGAATATAAGAAATATGAAGAAATCTTCCCACAGGGTAGCAAATCTAAACTTGAAGTGGAAATGTCAAAGAATAATTAATGCAAGTTTCACAAACTGGCTTTCTAAAGATGAAAAGTATCTCTGTTTTCATTATCCTGTGCAATTTCCTGGGGAAAAAAAGATTAAAAAAAGGTAGAGTTGAGATAATATTTTACAGAATATATTTTGGTTTTCCTAATAATATCCTGAAAAATTCAGATGGATGTATTTAGTAAGGAGGATGAGGAACGAGTCAGTTATTTGTTTTTTCGTGCAAAAGAGCTAAAAAGCAGCATTTGGAGGCAGCATTGCAACGGCTGGCTGTATGGCCTAAGGGCTGGGTACTTCAGCCCTTCATAATTCAGGTTGCCTGATCTGATGATTACTTAGGACAGTTGTATAATAAATGCCAGTGTTGCAAAGTGACTTGCTTTGCTGGTTTATTTATGTAGGCACTTTACTGATAACAGTAAATCCACATAGAGCACAACTTCCCTGTCCAGCTGCCTACGTGTCACTGTGTAAGTTCTTGCAGTGGCTGTTTGCACATCAGTGTGTTGACTATATGACCATCTTATTTGTGTTATTTTACTTGGTTTTTTGTACTATGGAGAGCAGATAGATTACAGGGGACCTTCAGCAGTGGCAATGGTTTTGCTTTGATTCAAAAGGTTTACACGTTCCCATTTGTAAGGTAACACGTACACAGGTATTCTTCCCAAGAATGCCAAGGCAGCGGAAGGATTAAAAAAAAAAGGTTTATTTCAGATGCAAGGACTACTTCTTAACGATGCCACACACACTGGGCCCCAGGGTAAAAAAAGGCAATGCCCCACCTTCTCCAAGGCTTTTTCTATCTTCTCTCTCCTCTCCCCACCCTACCTCTGGCCCTAGGACGCCTTGTACATGTGTGCAAACATGTTATCTCTCTGCATACCAGAGAGAGAGAGAGAGCTTGCTCACAGCTTCTCCCTGCAACTTTCTCTGAAATGCTGAAGGAAGGAAAAAAAAAATCTAACCTGTTTGAGAAGGCATTCTGCAGTCTTCCTAAGCAAAACAAGTTCTGGCTTTCTGCTAAAAATTCTTGCACAATTACACCAATCCCTACACCATTCCTTACACTGGTGATGAGCAAAAGTCTCAGGACACCTGAAACACTGATATAAGATCACTGATATACGTTATTATTAGGTTTGCTCTTGTAATGTCATTCAATTTTACATCTTCTATTGAATTAAGAAATGGAGTAAGAACAAAGTAAGACCTAACAAGAGGTTAAAACATGGCTGCATATGTGTTGAAAATAGTGTTCAACCACAGTTTTCAGTCATAGTTGAAACCGTAAGTTTCAACTTACAAATACTTGAATGGGTTTTAACTATATCATGATTGAGAAACGGTCTAGAAGACCATAAACATGCAATACAAATAGAAACATCTTCTGGAACCTTTATTGTCTCTGAATTAATTGTCTTTTCGTTTAACCTCCTGTATCTCTAATTTTCCTCAATATGCATGTTTCATCTTGTGATAAATTGGATATTCAAAACCAGGCATCAAATGATGATAGAAGCTGGAAAAATGATGAATGTTGTTACTTAATCTTTAGCTGTCAGGCCATAGGACTTCAAGGCGTCACTTTATTTTCTCTTTTGTCTCTTTAAATGAGATGTTTGCAGAATATTGTTACTTCTGCAAGTGAGACTGTGCAAAAAAAAGACTGTCACAAGTTCCAGAAATAAAATTATTTTCTGGGATGCATGCTATATCATGGCATCACTTATTTCTAATGCCGTGGTCAGAAGTGTACAATGTAAATGCAGTTGGCCTATTTTATCACAAACATATTTATTAGTAGGTATGTGTGCATTGTTATTATCTATTAATATCCTCACCCTGGTCTGTTTCTGGAGTTAATATTTAGCTAAACATGTAAGGATGTGTAATGTTTGGCAGCCTGCATTTCTCTCTTTGAGCAGATGGTTTGAAACGTCATTTGAGGTTCAGGCCATCAAATTTGTTACAGTGTTTATGAAATGTGGCAGTCATTTGGGAATATGTATAATATTCTCTAGTGGTCAAAATGAGTTTTGAAAGGAGCCATTTAAAGCGTTTGAAAGTTTCTCAGCATGTGCCATTTTGACTACAAAGAGTATTCTCTTTTTTCAGAAGTTAGTCACTAAAAACAGTTGAGAAAGCATAGCTTTTCTTAGTCATTGCTGTGAGCATTTTGTTTAATCTCTGCAATAATAAAGGGATAAAATCTTATGTGTATAGCTAAGTTTTCTTAACCAAAAACCTTTATCTTTTAGAGAAAAGGGGAAAGAAAAACAAATAAAAGAGAGGAAAAATTAAATAACCGTATTTTTTAGAAACTCTTCACATTTCCTATCTTTTTGCTTTGATAATGTTGATTAGTGACTCCTTCCTGTCCCAATCTATTTAACATCTCTTCAGTGGTATTTGGTAAACTGACATCTATATTTCTTCTAACAAAAATATTAAGATGCTTATTCTTGACAAAGCAGTGGGGAGGGTTTTTTATATACTGTATGTCTGTGGATATTGTATGCCTTTCGGGGTTTTTTTCCTGAAGAAGTTAAACCATTCAGGTGTACTTCTGCGTTGACTGCAGAGCCTATCAGTTTGTCTTAATAGAGCACGGGTTATTGCACATGCATACCTTGAGAACTCACCAAGAGAACAGAAAACCCACACAAGAATTTTCCTGTGCTTTCTATTCAGTACAGACCTAATTCTTCCCTCACCTACATAGTTCTTACAAGTAGTCTCCCTGAATGCTAAGGAAGTGGCATATCCTTTACTCTGGATTTATCAATCAGGGGAAGGGTTCTCTTTCACCAGTAAGATATTACACAAGCTGATAAATAATATTTTGGACAACTTAATAATATTCTGAACAACTTCACAGATGTTGGTCATCGTATTTAAATCTTTAATTATCAGACTGTGTGTTTTTTTTCAGAATTATGTTGTGCTAGATTACTTTTAACACCAGAATAAAATTTAGTTCACTGACAAGTCCTGTGGTGTTTGTTATGCTTAATAATTGGAAATAAACTTGAAAATTACTTTAGCCCTATGTTTGATAGCAAAAAAAAAGCCAAAAATATTTCCTATGCTGGATTTAAGTACATTAATTCATCTTGTCACCTTGTCTGTGTTAATACTTTACATTGTACATTTCAACTAAATTCGGCTTCACATGGACCTAATAAATTGGCTTACTTGTATGTAGAAGCATTGTGCAGATAATCAGCATATACCTTATAAGCTTCCAGAGCATGTAAACTTAATGTCTGAAGCTATACAAAATAACTAAAATTATTCTCGTAACCTTTTTTTGTTGTGTTGTTTTTTGATTTTTGATACCAGTTTTTGTAAGTATGCATTGTGGACAATGAGAAATATTGACATAGGTTTCTGTAATCTTTTATAGATCCAAAGAGGGCTTGTTATCTACATATGCTTCTTCAAAGATGCTGATGAGGATCTCGTTCCAAAAATCGGTATGATATAACCCTTCTAAATTCTTGTATTTGAAAAAGAAGAATAGCAGTAGAGGCAGAGAAGGCAGCAACTGTTTGGACAAGTAGAAGTCAAGAAACCATGAGATGGCATCATTCTAAATCAGTCACCTGCCTAAAAGAACAGTTTGGTCTGTCTTGTTTCTTTTGACAGTTGTCCATGCCTCTCACTCTGTCCATCTGCTCAGGACTAACTTAGAAAATCAATTCCCACGATGATAACCTTCTAGGAAACAGAGAAAATGCTGCACCTGCTATTTGACATATTACATGTATCAGGCAACAGGTTCAGTCCAGGACAGAACTGAATTTCAAATAGTTCATGGCTTGATTTGCTAAGTATTTTGACACTGATCACACTGTATGTGCAGGATATTTAAGATTACAGCCAGTAGAGGGAGCTGAGCGGATGACTCGACAGTGTCCTTCCCATCTCATTTCAGTAGTACTATATACACTATGAGTATTTTTAGTGCAGTTTTCTGGTTCAAAAATGATAACAGCAATATCTGCAGTTCTTGCCCTCTTTTCCACATGCACCTTAACATTTACATAAAAGCAGAGAAGATGCTGTGGATCAGGTCAAATGGTAGTGATTTCTGTCTTCACCCACTGCTGTTTTGGCTTGAATTTTTTGTTTGTTTTTGGTTTGTTGTTGGGTTTTTTTCCCACTTTTATGTCATTTCTTCTCCCTCCTTTCCTCCATCAGTAGCACTGGATCACCTGGAAAAATATGTGATGCCATGTATTCCAGATAAAAATACCCCTTTTCTTTTCTGTGGCTGGCTGATATTAGTGATTTGGCAAAAGACTGTGTAATGATAGTCTATTCCAGGCTAATGGCCGGGCCCAGCAGTGCACAAGTACAGGTGCTATTGAAAATGCTGAGAGGAACTGCTGTGGGGTTCTCCTTCGTCTTGGAGGGCACAGTCTTTCTGAGATGCTAAATAAAGTTGAAATATTTGGGTATATTTAAATCTATGTGAAAATTTATTTTGTGCTTGTGAGAGTTTCATGAGAATGTTACTTGAGAATAATTACACTTCCAGCTGTGGGGCAGCTGAAACAGGCCAGAAAAAGAAAGTTCTGTTTCTTATGAGGAGATTCATGTATGACCATCCTCCTCGAGTGCCTGGTTTACAGCATATTGTTCCTAAATATATTTTGAATCTGTTTAAATGCGTGGTTTTGGTTCCTGAATCACAACTCAGCTCTTTTTGCTTTGAACAACATTAAACATGGAGGCATAACTAGTATCCTCACAGCTTTTACAGAGTTTGAGGAAGTTTTGGGGTAATGATTTGATTTGTTATATAAACATGGAAAATCTAATGTTAGTAAATGTATTGATTTTATTTGCAAGTTTATATATTCTGGTTTATAAGGCAAATTGCATCTGACCTTCCTGCCCACTTCCTTTCTCAAAAGACAAACTGGCCCCTGCACATCTCCAAGTGGAATGCTGAAGGACTCTCACTCCATTTGAGACCGAACTGTGGAGCTGTGCCTTCAGCACAGATCATTGCTGGGTCCTGCTGCAAACTACTCCAACCAGTGTGAAAAGACAGTCAGGGCACAAAGCTCTCCAAAGTGCACTGAGGATGGTGGTGTCTCCTACGATGTGTAGTGTTGTGCACATGCTGCCTATTTGAGTATCAGAAAATTTAGTAAGGGCCATTATGTGCACCCTTCTCTGGGTTCTTTTGGGGGTATCAAACTAGAATCTACTTGAGGATTTTAGATAGCAAATCACTTCCCCCAAAAATAAAACTTTAGACATCTGATGTTAATATACATATCCTTAACATTCCTCACAATACTCGGACATATTAGTTGGTTAATAGTATTTATTGACTGTCCATGTTTCATTTAATTAATAAACAGTTTCTTTTACTTGAGTAGTTTGTCACACATCAAAATACTTTTTGAATCTTGTTTATGATGTCCTGTTTAATTTACTTCAGTTATACTAACTCTTATTTTATTTTTATTTGCAGTCAATATGCTGTTGAATGTTAAATTAAGTGAAAATGAAAACGGCGAGTTCGTTTCTGTTCTTGATTTACCAGGCGATGTACTTATCATACCTCAGGCTACCCTAGGCGGTAAACCAAAGGGAAGAAAGATGCAGTACCATGCAAACATTGAAAAAGAAAAAGGGTTGGAACTTTATTCTCAGTTCGTGACTTTGTGTGAGAAAGAACTGGCTGCCAATTCCAAATGCATGGAAGCAGGTGTTCATGTCAAGCATGGCACATACGGAAACAGGCAGGTGTTAAAACTGGATACAAATGGACCTTACACTCATCTGATTGAATTTTGAAAAAATAAATTGTATCTCAGATACAGTACTGGTGTCTTTTTTTCTCCCTTCCTAAGCATTAATGTGCTTGAATGCTTTGGGAGATAGATACAGTGTAAAAATTCATCTGTACTGGTGTTGCCAATGGCATTGAATACAAGGATGCCTGAGACTGCTTTGCTATAATGAGTATGCATTTTATACTCATATGCATCTGAAGTGTGCTCAAAATAATTGTTAATATTGATCCAATAATTTGAAAGGTTTATTAACAAGGATGGGTTAATGCGTTTGTTTCTTACTAAAAAATAATGAAGTATTTCATGTATAGCTTGAGTAAGTGGTTTATAGATTAGAAAAAAGAATACTGTAAATGTACTTATGTTTCCAGATTTCCTGAGTCAGTTTTTGCCTTTCTGTTTTCTAACTATAAAATGGCAATGCTTTCTAACTAACCAATACATAGAAAACACAAAATCACTGAATTTTTAGCCTTTTAGAGAGTAGGTACTGAATAAGAAAGTCCATCCTCCTCATCGAGAGTGTGTAGGGGTGGAAGACTTAAGGTAGTACTGGGCTGATCATGGGCTATGTAGGGAAGAATAAGTGAGGCCCATCAAGAAACTAGCAGTACCACTGAATTGCTTTCTTGAAGTTTGCGTTCTGAAATCTCTGATGTGTTTTGATAGGCTGCTTGCTATAGCTTGGTCTGTGTCCTTGTTACTGCGGTCTTGCTGTCTACTCAAGTCTTTCATAAGAGAGCCTCAGGAAAAGAACAGAAACATTCAAATGAAAACAAAAGTAAAGATGGTACATTGTATGCAACCATCTCATTGTTCCCACTGCCCCTATTGCTTCCTTCAGGCTTTTTGTCTATTGAATCTGCCAGGCAGAGACTAGTTTTCATTTTATAGACAGTGTTGGTACATTTGGGGCCACATTCCCAGATGACTCCCTATGCAGTACTGTTATAAACATTATTAACAGATGGGGTTAAGAAGCTATAATGGGAAATTCTCTCTTGTAAGGCAGTGAGAACAGAACAGCTGTATTAAAATGTGGCAAATTCAAAACTGATTCAAATATGCTTATCCTGTGAGTCAAGTTTCTCTTTTACTGCAGCATTATGGCTTAGAAGGATTCAAAGTGAAATTAGACATTTATATGGTTTGCAGTAATTATCCAAAATTGCCATTTAATTAACAAATTATTCTGGAAAAGACCTAAAACCTCATGGATGATGAGGTTACCAGCTTGTACAATCCTAACTTGTAGGTCAGTAGTTACAAAATTCTGTCCTTATCTTTATTTTTGTAGAAAAACATTACTGAATGTGTAATCTGCAGACTCAAACTATGTCATGAGAATTACATTTTTTTTTTAACACATACAAAGCTTGTAGTTTTGATAAGAGAGTAATGAGATTTTTTCAGATTACATAATATATGATTAATAATTACAAAATAGATAAGGATGTTGAATTCCTGGCAACTGACACTCTCAGAGTTGAAAGCAACCATTTACACAAATGGCCTGGAAATATTAGCTATTAGGTCCCAAATGATATGTTTATTCATTAATAATTAACAGTTGTGATAGACACAATATGAGTTATGTTCTCAGTTCCTACTAGCAACATTTAACTAAGATTGTCTTGATATGAATAACTAATAGAAATTCATTTTAATCTGTGTGTGTGGTAAAACATTTTTATTCCTCTTTCTTTTGGAGGTCAAATCCTAAAAAGTGCTGACTTTACAGGACTTTCACAGACTTTACAGGAATTGTGGGTATTTAATATATCTCAAGAATTGATCCTTTGAGGTATAATACGAAGTCTGCAGTTTTAAATTTTTTCCTGTCTCCAGAAAGGTCTTTGGCAGCCTGGCAATTCATTCTCTATATTTCAAGAACTCTGTGAGTTCTAAGAGGGATAGGCTTGAAAATGTTTAGTGAAAAACAGACTTAAAACAAAACTCCATCTCATACGATCTCTCATATAAAGCACATAAAATCAAATATATATTTTGGTTGTTCTTAGGACCAGACAGAACTCTATAATTTCTGTTACAAGGTGGATATTTTTGTATTATCTGCCCACTTCTGATTTATTTTTGTAACCATCTTGGAATACTGATTTCTACTGTCTTCTACTCCAGTGATTGGCAGCTCGTTGAATATTGTGCCCTTTGTACTGCTTTATTTATATCTACTATTGATTCACAATCCGTTTACTGAAAGAAGCCATTTCTGAATAACATACTGGACTGTACTGATGAAAAAATCAATTAAAATCACTTTTTCAAAGCCAAATGTTCATTTCTTTCTGCCGTGAATATATACTTTAAACAGATGATCTGACACTGCTTTAAATAGTTTCTATTCTGTGACTAGACAAAACCTCAAATAATTATCCTGTTCTATACTTATAGACCATCTATTGGAAGATGCTTAATATTCCCCACTTCCTTGAAATAACCTATAAAGTCAGGAGTCATCCTTATGCTATTATGCCTTCAATTCAACTGTCGTACGGTAATTCCAGTATCAAGTTTTTGCGACCTCGTTTGCAGCGTACACACCCAGTGTGTCTAAACTGAATGTGTGTGGACTATGAACTGGGCTCATAAAAATTTACTAATGCTTTCAGGTGCAATAGCTTGTTTTTTAGTCAGCAGTATTCCTGCTTCCTTCCCATGCCCTTTCTGGAAATTTTTACCTTTGCTATTACATACAGCATGCAACATACGAATTTACAGCATACAAATATTAATCCAGAATTGGAAGTTAATAAACAGTGTGTAGACCAGTAATACTAATAACACTGCTGCAACTGTATTGCTATTGCTAGTAACAGTCAGTGGGCTTTATCACAAGTGTTACAAGACCTCAGGATGGAGTCTTATCACACATGCTTTATCTGAACTTTCCTTAGTCTTCTCAGAGCTTTGCTTTTACTTGATTTAGCTGTAACAACAATTTTTCTAAGGGCAGGGGACTGTGGCTGATTTGTGTTACTTTTGCGTTGTATGCTGAAACAGCAGTTGTTATATAGATATTAATACTAAGTAGTTATTCTGTGTAGAATGATATTTTTATGACTCTAACATAATGTTACAGTGTACAAAACAGCACCAGCCTTGAGAAGTGAAGACACTGACGGCAGTGTAAAGTAGAGGCAGGGGATGGTAAGAGATGGGGCACAGACTGTCACTGGAGTCCCCCAGGCTATAAACTTTCCAATGGTCAGTTAAAGAAATGCAAACCTGGAGCTGGGCAAGACTAGTCTTAGGGGTAAAAAAGAGAAGAAAGAATGGGTATTTAAGATGTAAAAAAAGCAAAATACGCGGTTGTGGGCCAGTAAAGAAAAAGCAAGGTGTAAAACTTTATTAGAAAACATGCAAAATAGCCCCAGCTTCTTTTTTCCAAAAGAAGTAAAAGGAGAGGAAGAAGAACAAACCATAACACCAACATCATACTTCTGAAGGCATAGGACTCCAGATGCTGATAATCCACTGTGCTGCCTCTACCAGATGGAAGCCACATGAGGCGAAAGGGTAAGCACGACACCAGGAAAAGGGGTAGGTATAGGTACTAGGTGTGCATGCATAACGGTTTTAAGTGTAGTATCATTATTGAGACTTTTTATACAGTTTTTTTATTTTTATTTCCTTTCTTTTTCTACAATAATTAGATTTGGACTGAAAATAATTCTTTGATTAAATTGCTAAGGTTGCAATTATAATACATTTGGTGTGACTTTATACATAGGGTGGATTTCTTGTTGCCCATAGCAAGATTTTGCACATAACAGTTTCTGCAGACAATTGCTTCCCCATGTTGAAATGGCAGCCACTTACTTGATGGTCTGCTGGATGTTAGCCAGCCTTTGTGGTTCTTTTCAACAGATCCTTTAATGCAGCTGTGATGTCTGATCTCATTTACCACAAAAGCTGCACAAAAGTTTCATTCTTCATTGTGACTCAATGCAACCCCTGCTCTTTAGCCCCTCTTTGAGAACAAAATCAGTTCCCCTTGGATTTATAAGTATGATCTGGTGAACCTCAATCTCACCTCTGATACAAAAACAGCTTCTTTGGCGAAGGAGGTATGAATCCTTTAAGCTCCATTATTTTTTGCTTTTATTTTCTATTAGTCTCTGCTATATGGGCTCCTTCAAACACATAATGTTTATCTTCTTAAGCTGGAGTAGCAGTATGCCATAGAGAACTAGAGTGGTCTCCTCTGTTGTGACTGGCCTCATTTCTTAATTTCTTAGCATCTCAATTCTCATCTAATAAATGGGTATTTTATTTTTTTTTCAATGTGTTGATCCTTAAGACTATACATTGAGCAAAACAAGGACCATCACTCAGTTTAGTGTATTCACAGCACAGTGGGACAGTACTGGGCTGTCTGTAAGATCCACCAGTTGCTTTATACTAGAACTCAGGGTGACAATTGCTGGACAAGAACAGAAAGTAGAGCTTCCTCTTTAATATTTTTCTTGGGAAAACAGCATCTAAAATTTGAGACTCTCCCTCAAGAATTTAGTGAATTTAGTATTTCCTATATATTCCTTCTTGTTTTTTTGAAGCTCTTTGAAAGCAACACAAAATTTAGGAATCCCTACAAGATTCTTTTACCAGAAGTGCCGTGCAAATACAGTTGAAAAGTAAATGGTATATGTGGTCAAGAGAAAGAAACAGCAGTTAGAGTAGCCCAAATAGTTTGAATGTATTGCACATTTTCTATTTAAACCAATGCTGGCTGCTAGTTTAATTACTGCCAGTGTGCGGCTTTGGGTAAAGCAATTTTCTGCTCCACTTTTTCCATCTGTGAGACAAAGAAAGAGTGAAAACAAGGGAAAAGGAGGTTTAAAACCACTAGGTTTTTTCTCTTCACTAAAAGCCAAAAATCACCTCTGATCCCCCTTTTTCGTCAGAAGGCAGTATGCTTTCACCTCTCTTCACCTTTGTTGGAGCTACAGGAATTTGCCTTTCACTACCTCCTGCTTAAGCCTCTGCCTCACAAATGTGACTTGAGCTAATGTCCACAGAGCACTTTGACTGCCTCAATGAATGGTGTGGTATCAGTGTAAATAACACCCCATAGTACTTCTAAAACAGGGGTGATCCAGACAGCATGGAAAAGCAAATAAATGGCATTCCTGTTGTACTGTTCTTGTTCATATGTATTTGTGTATCTTATTGCTCTGAATTTAAGATTGCTTTCTATTCACTTTAATTGTATTTACCAGTGTAAGTGCCACAATAGATGCCCTATTGCGTCAGTATGTATTAAAAATGTGCAAGTAAGGAGCTTAAGGCTATTTAGATATGCTCCATTAGGAGAGATTGGCAATAAAGGTTTTGTATTAGCAGTGAAAGCAAAAGGGTTTTGGGAGGCTTTAGTATTTAGCTGGCAATTCATCCCTAAGATCTAACTTTCTTATTTCCCACTGCCATTTTGGTAGCTGTATCTAATATTATCTAGGCCTGCATAATACTTTTATTTACATTTTAGGATTAAAAATAACAGCAATTGCTTGGCAGGAATTCAGGCCTTGCATTTTGTGATAGTACAAAAAGCAACTGTTGGGAATAAAAAGAAGTATAGCGGTATTGTAGCATAAAATAAAACTATATATTACTTTTGATATTCAATGTGTAAAAAAAGAAAGATTTGTACTTAGGACATTGCAAAAGCTAGGACAGGCCAAAATGTATTGGATTCTACATGCCCCCAGAAGGGAGCTACTGCAGGGAACTGAACGTTTCACTTTTGGGATTAGAAACACATAGTTACTGTCTCAACTGAGGGAGCAGGCGTGGGACAGACTTGGATGCTAAGGGCTGCAGCAGTTCTAGAACTGAGCATGTTATAATGTTTATAGGCAGATTAATAACCTTAAATTAAAACCAAATGTAAATTGCCTGTAGTTGATGGTGTAACTGTTCACACATTCAGAACTTAATTGTCTCACTCTGTACTTAAAACCCAGTATGTTGACCGTATAACAAAATTGCAAAGAGAAAGTAAAACTAAATAGTTAATCTTATAATTAATCTAAAGACATTCCTTCTTAATTATTTTAAAATATCATGGAATTTGGCTTTTTCTGCTATGTAATTAGTTGATGATGTTACATTTGCTTCAAATCAGGCCCCTAGTCCTGTGATTCTTAGTCATGCATGGACAGTCACACTAAATTCAAAGGAATACATTCTTTTTTTTCCTCTAGAGTCATTGAGGATTATAAAGCTGAAAGAAAGAAAATATTTAGCTCAGAGGCGTATGCGACTGCATAGATATTCTACTATGTCTGGAATTTGTACAGCAGAACTGATTCATGCTGTCTCCCCACTTCAGCAATACAGACTAATGAGAAGACTAATCAGTAGGTTTGTGCATTTCAATTATTTGCCAGTTGCTTATTTTATTAAGTAATTTGCTATTGAAGTACAGTCAGGACTAATGGGGAAAGGGAAAATTGAATTAATACATGGCGAATACATTTAACTGTCCTATTTTTTTCTGGTTTAGAACAAAGTACTGTAAACTTGCATGACAATAATTTTTTTTATTTCAGATGGAAAAGGGGAAAAATAAAAATGGCATACATAATTGCTGAAGTAGACATTAATTTGAATCAGTGCATGGTTAACATTCTGTTGACCAATTTAGGAAAAAAATCATAATAAAAATCTAGGTTAGCCATAAATTCAATAAACACAGACTCTTACCCTCATGTAAACACTGCTGGCACAAAGTCACCCTAAAGCTGATGTACCCAGAGATGGAAGGAGTGTCCTGATTTAATATCCTTTGTTATTCCAATTGAATCATATCAGCTTAGCATTAACAAAGCATTACTTAGATCTGATATCATGTGTTCAGAGGGGGCTGGGAGACATAAGGCTTAGGAAAAACTGAGCAAGACTTTACTTCTTAATGAGTGATATTTTGTTTTGCTCTATGCTCATGTAACATTCAGCATTATGAGATACTAATCTTGGATGGGTCCCTACCTGCTACCATAACAGAGCGAATAAAAGACATAGTAATGATGATAACAGCAGTAATATTCCAAAAATTATCCTAAATTTGGGGTTGCTTATTGTTTCTGGGTTAAACATGATCAATTCTTCACAAATATTGCCAGGTCTTTCTGTTACCTCAGGGCTGCAAGCCAGAGCAGTCTTTGTTTTTCTGGAGTTCATTATGGAAAATGTCATAACACCGACAGTCTTTGAATATAAATTGTTCAGCTGACCTTTCTCACAAGTGAATTGCAGATCTTTATGAGTAGC